CTTTATGTAGCAAGCTAACATCTGTCTCTGATAGTAAAGCAGATTTTTCCATTTCTGCAAACACGTCCAGCGGTGTCTGGAATGAAAAGACAGAAAGTTTTTAGTTCACAGAGGCTGTTTGTGGGACAGTCATCATCTCTGGTGCCATCAAATCCACAACACGGTTTCCATTTGCATCAAATGCAAAGCACAGAAAATAATGGCTGCATGCCAAATATCCTTGGGCAAGATACTAACCCCATGTTTGCCTACTGGTGGTGGTCAGAGGGCCCGGTGGCGCCTGTGTCCGGCAGCCTCGCCTCTGTCAGTGCGCCCCAGGGCAGCTGTGGCTACAATGTAGCTTGCCATCGCCAGTGTGTGAATGTGTGTGTGAATGGGTGAATGACTGAATGTAGTGTGAAGCGCTTTGGGGTCCTTAGGGACTAGAAAAGCGCTATATAAATACAGGCCATTTACCATGTGTTACACTACAACATGGGGATACAGAAATATGCATTAGAACTCAAACACTGGGCCTCATGGCCCAGCACCATGACAACGGTGGTTGGTTGGCAGCATAATGGTGGCAGCAGGGAGATCCCATAAAGACTCTTAAATAGAGCCAAATGCACAAACAAACTTGGAGACAACGGCATACATCCATCACGTACAAACAGGAATTTGGTAGTACTAGTATTCTGATTAGGGCTTGGAGCAGGGGTAACCATCTCCAGCCCTCTAGTGCCAGTGTTTTAGATGCGCTCTACAAATGCAGGCAGGCCATAATACTTAGTGGAGATTTTAATTGAATTTAAGAAAAATACAAAACAGTGAGATTCCATATTACAGAAATTCAACCAAAGTAATAGACATTATTATTTACAAATAATCTATGCTGAATTCAGAAAGTTACTTGTGGGACTCCTCAAAGTTCAGTGCTCAAACCTAAACTGTTCAAACGGTATGTCTATAAATTTATGTTGTTCTGGGATAAAAAAGTGAAGCAGCGTTTCAATACAATTTAAAGGGAATTGTAAGTTTTTAAATATGAATAAATTATCACTAACCTATAGCAAAATAAAGAAGAAGGATAATTATATAATAACAGGAAAATTAAAAAACAAATTCCAAATAACGATGAATAACAGTTAAACAAAAGAGGTGTAAATAGATGGAAATTGACACCACCAAAAAAATATATCTTCAATTACAAAATTAATTGTTCCTTGTTAGTTTCACATAGTAAGGATGTCAAACTCATTTTGATTTCAAGTGGGCCTGACCAGAGAAACACACCTTTCTGTCAGTGAAAAGACATTTAACTAATTTCAACAGCATATCTCAGTTTTTCTACACGACACAGAAATGCTGCTGTGGTAAACTTTCACCATGACTGTTTGGGTTTAAATTCTAAAAAATAAATGTGTCAATTTTCAGAGAAAATTCTAATAGTTCGTTGCCTCGTTGCCCTGACTGGCCTGTAAATAGGAAACAAGAAATGTGCTTTTTTGTGTGGACGCACAAGAAAACAACATCCAAAAACCTTCCATCTTTAACATTGAAAAAACAGGAACTTTTCTGTTTTTTAAAATAATGTAATTAATGTGGTGTACCAGGGATGGTAACCAGAGAGATGTGTATGGGTAGGAAAAGCCGAAAAATATATTGAATTATAGTTAAAAAGAATTTAGGCCTTGCTTCACATTTTCTAAAGCTGCCTAATGGGCAGGATTGGAGTCTTTTCTCAGACTGATTCTGGACCTCAGGCTTTGCGTTTGACACCCCTGTACAACATCAGAATAGTTAGAGGGATATCATGCGTTTGCTGATATATTCATCTCAGCATTTATGCATTTATATAAAAAAAATAAACAGGAGAAACACCCTTCACCATATAACGATGGCTGATGTTATATGTTATATGTTAGTTACACACATGTTGTGAAAGCTGCAAACACAACAACCAGCTGATCCAAGCAAAAGTTGGGCAGAGTGTAAACAAGTAATCCATGACCTCTTATGACAATAAAAAAATTAATCTGATTTTAGCAAGGACTGTAAATAACTACATTTAATAAATAGTATGGAAATCTGTTTATGTTTCATGTGTCTGGAAAGAAATACGCATTGGTTGCACTTTAGCTGCATGCAAAAATAAACAAATCCAGTTTTCCTGCTTTTACTTTTTTCCCCTCTTTAGAAGAAAACTCTTGAGAATCGATTAGTTTAAGCCAACCAACAGACTTTCAGTAAACTGCATGCTTTTATGATATCACTGATCTCAACTTTGCACTGATGATGTACAAAGCACAAAATAATAAACTGTATTCAGAGGCTGGTAGTTTCCACTTGAACTTCAGTGTGTGAAAAGCCACTGTAAACAGTACTCAGTCTATTTGACAGAACATTTCAAAGTAAAATTACCAGTTAACTACTCTTAGTAGTGGAAGCGTGTTCTTTACTGTGCTTATAAAATGAAAGGAAAAGTCGTTACATGCTGATCACAGTGAAAACAATCTAAATGTCAACTGTACAGCTAGCCTTTGATGTTCAGTAAAAAGCTTCTCACTCAAAAGCAGAAATGAAAAGGTGGATTGGTGTGTTCTCACCTTGGACAATTCCATTTGTCTCCTGCCCAGCTGGTCAGTCAGTAGAAACTTCAGCTTTTCAAAGTTCTCTGTAGTGAAGCCATTGTATATAGAATACAGGGTCTTCCTAATGGTCAGAGAAAAACTTTTGCTATATTACTATTCCTATGCTGCATGCTGTACTATTAAGATAAAAACCGAAAGCTTTTACCTGTAGTCTGACAGGACAGGACTAGCATCTGTTTCCTCTGGCGGTCTGCTGTCTGTCTCCAGGACCCTGAGGAGATCTGCTCGATGGATGGTGTAGAGCAGCTGCCTGAGGAAGGCATCGTTTTGCAGCAGACCTTTTTCCTCTAATCTCAAGAACAGGTCTTTTGCATCCTTAATCTGTAGGGAAAAAAACCCACTCTTGAACATGCATATCCTAGGGCGTCATACTGTCAACGTGTTATTTAAAACAATTTCCCACAAACATGCTAACAAAACAAGTGTAAACACATTACAAAATTTGCTGTGCTCACGTTCTCCAGGCGTCTTCTGGTGACTACATCACGGCATAAGAAGCAAAGTTCTGCCACTTCAGAAGAGTCCAGGCCCTCATCTATGTGGGACAAAGTCAGCCTGTCCATCATGGCCTGGTCCTCAGCTCACAGCGATCTGCAGCTTTTATTGTTAACAGAAAACAAGTGTGCATGTTTTGATGGAGCAAAAACTGAAGTATTCAAAAACTTCATGCATTGCAAACAAGCAGTTTTACATTAATGACTAAAGATCATGGCTAGAATGTTAAAATAACGACAACAATAATAATAACACCACACCATACATGATAAGATGCCATTACTGCCCTACGTAGAAGCACCGCTATACTGTATGTTTTTACAGGGAAACACAGTAAGATGACTACATAGAGAACTTTGTCTTCCATCGCTGACCTTTCAACAGCGAACTGTTATCTTGATCATTATTAAATGGCACAGAGCTTTGGATGTTAGGCCACATCATCTCTGACTATCCAAACAAACAAACAAACACCTGCAACATTTAAATGTTATTTACAATTTCCTATGAAAGCCTGGTTTTAAATTGTGTATTTGCATGGCAGCTTATACGTGACGCGTTGTCTTTCAGTCCTTCTCGGTTTACTTTATTTCATGTTATTTTGGCCTCTCAATGCGTTCCTAGTAATCCCGTGTAGTCCCATGAAAAGACATCTGCGTGATACGACAGAGTGACGTCACTAACACTACCCACCCCGCCCCCCGCCGCCAGTTTTGTTTCTCTTGACAAAAACGAACATTAAAAAGTTTTAAGTCAATGTTACATAACGTGGCCCAGAGTTTACGCTAACAGTTTACGTCAGGTGAACTAAATTATGACGCTGAAACTTACCGCCGCTGTCTCTCGCTGTTAGTTTACAGCTCCTTAGCGAAAAGGGCGCGTCTTGTTAAATGCGAGGAAAATAACTTAAACAAATGAAAAAAAAAAAACTTTTTGGGAGCGAAAAAAATACTGAAATATGTTTCAGTGGCTTTTATTTCCGCTTTCTGTTAGAGGTGCAAATTCTTTCGTTTTCGGAGCAAGCGCCTCACGTAACTGGATGTGACGTCACGGTATAGGAAGTTGAAGTTGAGTGTCGGTGCTGGGTAGAAAATTTTAAAAATAAAGGCCACATAGGCCACATTCACACACAAACTGTAGCGTTAGTGAGCTGACCAATATATTTTTCGCTTCACACTTGGCTACATGAGTTTACTAAGCTCAACTACAGCACATACTGGCACGTCTTTCATAATAAAATCCGTTTGTTTAGCATTGTAAACCTTTATTTTGAAAACTCCCATGCTTCTTTTTTTTTCTTAAACACATATTTATCGGCAGAGGGCTTTGCCCAAACGTGTACAAGAAACCCAAACTACTGAAACTGAAAAAAAAACCCCAAACTTTATTTATCTGTCTTTTACTGGAAAGATCACAACGTTTGAGTTTTGATCGTTTGTGTTCCTCTCCACCAAATGTCCACAGATACAACTAATAGTCAGTCACTCGGAATAAAAAACAAAATAACTTTCTAAATGTCAGTGAAGATTATTCTCATGAACAAACATATATGAATCTTATAAAGAGACAGTTTGTGAGCATGTGATAATGTGACTAGAGGATGGCTTCCTGGTCTGCGTCTGCAGGATGATTGGAGGCAAAAGGGGTGAAGTACTCTCTGGCAAACAGAAAGACGTCGTCTGGTTTCCTCAACAACAGCAACTGCAGGAAGTCAGATATTAGTGCTCGAATCTCTGGATGCTGTTCAAGTATGAGGAGTGTCGGCCTTAAGCTCTCCTGCCAAAACAAGACATAAACACACATTCATTTTCTGCTCAGATGGTCAGTAGAGTAATGGAAGTCTAGTATTAATCTCCTGTTGCACATGACCGGCTACCTTTCTGTCCAGAAACTTAGAACGCATCTGCATGTCTTCCTCCCACACAAGGGGGATCTTCTTGAAATCTACTGTAAAATTACAAATACACAAATATCACTGAATCTTTCATTGGAATCATACCTCTTATGTGTGAATATGTGTGTGGGCGATGTGTGTAACCTTTTTCTGCCTTTGATGGCAACTCTAGAAGTCTCATGGTGACTGGTGACCCCACCTGAACTCTGGTCACCAGATGCCTGATCAGAGAATGTAACGAGTCAAATTGAAAGCACTAGTGTAACACATAACAACAATAATAGCACTTACTTGTTATTCAGAAACCGCTTGAGTTAAACCAGAAAGTTCTCATGTATCACCAATATTCTTTCGCATACAAAAATCAGATGTGTCCTATTCCGTAGGTATATCTACACTTTATGGGAACCTTTCCCTTCAAAATGATCATTTTTAGAAACTGAATAGTTCCTAAGATGTCAAGGACACAAAGCAATTAACTATTCTACTATAGCTAATGTTATAGTTTGGACCCACAAAGAAGAAGCATCAATGGCTCCATTAGCAGTGGTTAATAGTTTTGGCTAACATGTGAAAGATCTCTAGTTTAAGACCAGGAGGTGACATAAATCACAAGCAGGGTTGTACCAGGAAGGATGCCTAATCAAACATGTGGGAAATAGTAGAAATTCTTCTTTATTTACCCTTTCCCTGTTTCATCCACACCTCTTTAACCTCACTTACTGTCGAGTTTCTTATCACTGGTGGGCTCCTTTGTTCCATACCTGAACTTACCTGGCACAGAGTATATAATGACTGCACTCCCTTCCACCTCACTCTGTTTGCTTCTGGACTGGGAGCAGCTAAGGTGAGTTAGCTTAATTTACTTATTTAGCTTTAAGTCAGTGACTTGAAATCTAACCTTGTTGGTCTTTTTAAGAGATTGCTAGTCCAAGTGTGGCAATCTTTGTGTAATTTAAACTACCTTTTTCTACAAGTTAAATAAACCCAACCACTGGGGAATCACTGATGGTTCATTCATACTGGTTGCCCATGCTGATAACAGTCCTCTCCTTTAACCTCCTAACTAATGGATCCCTGTGATTAAGGAAGCATTCAATAAGTAGTGCTATGTGTGATTAAAATGATTGTTGTTTAGTCTACATAGTGACCTCCTATCAGCAGTAGGTAATATAAACATGAAACTCAACAGTGGCAGCTGCAGTCTGTCTGGTGCACAGAGGGAGGCAGTAACACAGTCCAACATGTGTGGGATGATGGAGAGGTACATATATTAAGCTTACCCATCATCCAGGAAGTAGCACTGCCAGTACTGGGGCTGCCCTCCATGGACTGAATAATCCTCTCTACCCCAAATACATCCAGGAGCTCACCCCCGACCTCTAGCTGCCTCTGATCCAGCTCTCTCTGAGCACAAAAGAGACCACAATCAGAGCTCAGTACTCAAACAAGTTACTGATGGACCAGGATGTCTTACACAGGCATAAAGACTTACAAAGAGGTGTTAATTATGTGTAATCCTGGGTCTAAGGAGACAAACGTCATGTTTTCTGGCATCTTCCTCCTCAGAGCGATCAGGCGCATCAACAGCAAGCTAGAGCCCTCAGTTACCAGCCCTCTCAGGACAGACATGGGGTAGGACATGCTCTCTTCTGTCACCTCCTGTACACACACACACACACACACACACACACACACACACACGCGCACACAAATGACAACATGCAGTAAATGCGCAACAGTAAGTAAAGATTTTGTAAATACTGGACTAACTCTTGCAAAGAGAGCGTGGAAGTTGCTCTGAATGACTGTGGTACTGTTTCATTAATATATTAGTGAGTTGACCTATAAAGCAGTGGTTATCTGACCTCTCCCACAGTCGTAACCTTATGGATCACCATCAGCCCATCACGCTGCACCATGTGACACCTCTTGTCCACACTATGGCCCTCAAGCTGAGGAGAGAAGTATAGAAGCACATCAAAGGTGCAATATTTCCACTTAATGCATCTGCTGAGCTGAGTCAATGTAAAAAGAAACAGCCCGGAAAGGATTCAGCGACTCACCTTGACATATTCATGGTGATCTTCCTCCAGCACCTCCAGGTCAGTCGTTAGGTAGGCTTAAACAGAGTAAAGGGTATGAAGAGAAATACTAACAACAGGAAACAGCAAAGATCAGTTTGTCCTAGCATCCTCTGCCTGCTGTCACCTGTCACTGCTGTCCCACAGGGCAGTCATCAATGGCTCCGTGGCTCTGAGCATGAAGCATCATGCATGGCTGCTCTCTCCGGGCAAACTCCACCGTCACACTGAACTCCCCCAGCTCTCTCCCCCCCTCTGATACAGTCACCAGCGAGTCTGCAAACACACACTTCTGCAGCTCGGCAGGCTCTGAGAAGCGAAGGGACACAGAAGGTAAAGCCAAAGTGGACAGATTCAAATATCTGTAATGATTTCACGGTTTTTTGCTTTTCAGGTAGTTTTGGACTCAGCTGTTTCCTACCGACCATATTAGCCTAAATTGGATGCGAACTCACCGATGCCGGACATGAACGTGACAGCTTCGTCAGAGGCTTCCAGCTCCTGTCGCTGTTCAGGTCCTTCAGTCCCCGCTGAAAAACCTACAGCAGTCTGTTCACCCAGCGTGGCTTCCATCTTTAAAACAGCCTGAAAAGTGTGTGGGAGCAACTTCACAGGACACTCGCCTGCCTCGACAGACAGTCTGTCTGGGTAATTTTATGCAAAGCAGTCTTATCCCACACTTTTCCTGCTTAGCATTTTTCTGCTACGGAAGGGAAGCTGGCGACCAAATCTCTGTTGGCATGGCAACGACGCTGGAGTACCGTAAAGACCATTGTATGTGTGAATTGTAGGCTGACTATTCACCACCAAATCTAGAGGAAGGAATTATACAAAAATAGAGGCGCTGTACATAAGCTAATAAAAAACAAAACAAAGAACACTGATTACTATTCCTCCTAAAAACCAGCAAATAATTTTTGTGAATTAATTTACTTAAGTCTGAGATCTTTACATCAAGCAAACAATTATGCAATACAATATATAATAGTGAATTCAGATCATAATTCTGATTGCAAAAGCTGCTAGACAGAACAATCTTAAAAACAGTCCTACTGTATTGTCAGGAGGACATCCTGGGCCACATTTGTGGGGGTCAGTCTAGCAGGCAACATGCTTGCTTTTCAAAATGATGGCCATTTCACATGTTATAGCAACAAGGGAGCTTAAGTGGGTTTTTTTTTAAATTTGATCATTTTATTTTTTTTATTTAAAAGGGACAGTGCAGTTTAACATATTTCAAGTGCAAGACATGAAACTGATGTGCCGCACACAGGTTTATAGCTACTGCTAATTTTCAACAATTGTCCCTTGTTGGGCTTACAATCTAAATAGATACATTTGTAGATATTATGTTTCTGTTGCTAAAAGTCGATTTTTTTTCATTCAATATTCTTGGGGATTCTTATTTTGAATTTAGTAGGACTTCAGAAATGTACAGTAAACCTATCCCACTTAACCAATTGTTACGGCCCTAGCAGGGCCTCCTCCTGAAGGTGCCTGTGTGGGCGTGTCCCACCACCTCTTTTGCCTGAGGTGCCACCTTTCCCTGTTACACAGCTGACTCACATCAGTAATTAAAAGTATTTAAACCCAGGGAAAGGTGAGCTCTGGGCCAGAGTGCCAGTAGTGTGTTTGCAGCTAGTGAGCTGAGTGGGTGTTGTGTTTGCAGCTAGTGAGCTGTGTTTTTGGTGGTTTTCAGCTAGTGAGCTGCTCTCTTTCTTTTTGGCTTACGTTTTACTTTATTGACCAACACCTGAGTTTTGTTTGTTTTCTTAAATGGTGATAGCGGTAGTGATGGGCAGATGAAGCCCCATGAAGCACTGAAGCTTTTCATCCAATTGGTTCACCCCAACGCGAAGCTTCATGAAGCTTCATTTGCTCTAGCAGGACACCTACTGGACGTAAAAATAATAGCTGGCATGAATTTGAAGAGTGTGGCATTTTGCACACAGCCTGTAAATGTCAACAACAAAAGGAGTGTGTAAAACATGTATATTGTAGTGATGGCAGTATACTGTGTATATTATAGTGGCAGTATGGAAAATGATTATTTGGAAATGCTTGAAATGGAAATGATCATTTACTGTGAGGTGAGGTGTGGTTGGGGTGTGGACAGTGGTTGTGCTTTGTAACGTTGAGGTATGGACAGCTACACACTGCCTGTTCACATTTTATTCTGTAAAAACTAAATTTCACTGCTTTTATGACCTTTTAGTGGGGAGAACATAGCTAGGATTTAATGATTTAACAAATCTTTTGAATCCTTTGTCCTCCACAATGCTAAATAGCTGGGAGTCCTCAATCACCATGCTGACCAGGTCTTCATCTGTTTGAGATTGTTCTCCTGAGGAAAGACAATAAAGATAAAGCACAAATATAAATATCACATACGTAACTTATAACAGTTGTATAATATTGTTATATCATTTAGTAACATTACTGCATCCTATATTATCATTGCATTTGATGGCTCACCTGGTCTTGCTCCACAATCGGTGTCCCCCTTATTCTCATGCAAAGCTCTGTAGTGCCTAAGCATGGATAAGGTGTTGTTGTTGTTATATCCCAGCTCCCTGGCACATAGAAAACACTTCACCTTGTACAAAAGTCAAGACAGCTCAACATAAATTGTATTGCACCATCAGTATCATGAAAATACATCTTCTGTAGAAATTTACATACCTTGTTGGGAGGAATAAGATCAAAATGTTCCCACACAGGGGAGACATCCTCCTCTTCTTAGCTGGCTCCATTCTCTCCTGACTTTCCTCACTCTCATAAACCTCCAAACGGTCTCCAAACTCTCACTAACCGCAACTCTCCATCAAACACCCACATTTTTGAATGAAGTCTGAGGGGTTTATATCGCTGTCATATCTCGCGGCAAAGTTCGAACCACTTCATGAACCAGTCACGTGGTACAGCCGGGCAGCGAGGCTTCGGACGTCATCATTTTCAGCTCCTCCCATAAATGAAGCAAGCCTCGATACGCGCTTCGCGGAAACGCCCCCTCCATTACTCGACACACGCTCCGAAGCCTCGATACAGAACGTCCCATCACTAGATAGCGGCTTGTCCGTCTCTTTTACTTGGTATGAATTGAGACTTTAATACTCTTTAATTTACCCTTTTGCCTCCTTGACTCCTTTTTCTGACCCGGTCACTTTTGTTACTTCCCCCTCCCCGCCTAGACCCCTCAGGGGAACGTAACAAAATGTTTGATTCAGTGTCCTTTGCAAGACTCCCACATTTTCAATCTGTGTCCACACTTCAGGAAGCAGAGGGCTGAGTGATGTAGAGTTCTTTTAAATTCTGGATTTCACTCAGTCAGACTTGCATATAGGATGAGGTGGAGGAGTGCAGGGAGGTGAGAGTCAGAGGGCACACCAGCTTCTGAGGAGCCTGAGAAGGAAGCCACTGTCACTTATGGACAAGCGTGTAACCAAAGGTGTTTTTGGCTCTACCCGTTCTTTCTTTATGGATTCAATTTCAACCCTATTAACACTGGGTTGAAAGACTAACAATAAACATGAAAACAGGGCAACTCTGTCTATAACCACCATGACTGGAGGATCACTGATTACATCAGTGATCAGACAGCCAGGTTCTTGAAAGTGTCAAAGCACACAAACCAAAGGGAGATGCTCATCTCTGCAGGCAGCCCAAACATTTATAAGCTGCATATCATACGTTAATATCTATGACATGACTTGAATCTGGATATATTCAGTACTATTTATAGCAATTTCAATGCATATAGACAGATTGTTTAAGACTGTTACTTTCCAGCACTGACAAGATGACTTCAATGTGTGATCAGACGATAGAAGGCCAGTGCAGATGTTTCCTACAGCACTTATGCAATACCTATTAACCATAATAGGCTTCAGCTGTGGTCTCTTTGCTCCAGCATAGACTACTCAAACACTGGGATGTTCTTCTCTGAACTTCACCTTCCTTTTTTTTAAATCAAGTATTTCCCTTCATCTAACAGTTCAGAGATCCACATGAAAAAAAACAAAACAAAATGAGGGACAGAATAAAATAAACAACATTTTTGAAAAAAGGTTTTGCTGGAACATTTTTCTTTCAACCACATATGGTAGCCATGGTAACTTTCAGGATTTGTGGAGGGAGAAATCAAGTCAAACAGTTCTGAAGCAAACTGATGTATTCTGAGAGAATTAAAAGACATAACAAGTGAAATGTAACATTTTTATTGTTAC